TGTATCATTTACTATTTCTGTGGCAGACGGCAAATGAGTTTTGTTTCTGGTTCATTATTAGATTATATTCTGATATTTGGCTAGTTTTTGTCCTGGTGCCAAAAAAATAATCTAATGATCATTTGTGGATAATCGGGAGAATTAACTTGGAATTCCCCAAACAAAATAAAATATTTCATATTGCTGTACACTAAGCACTATGAAGGGAAATCAAGCGTATCGTGACTATTTTATCAAGCAGAGAGATATTCCATTTCTATGAACACGGGTTAATCCCATGGTGATATCTTGTTTTCATCTGTGTTGATTTGGTTTAAATCGTGGAATTGAATTATGAAAGCCACTTTCGCTAGCCATGAGTTAGTTTGGCTGTTATTTCTTACAAAAAGTTGGCGGTAGCAGTTTATTTCTTTCTTGACGAGAAAATCCTAGACATTTTGTTCCGGCAATCTAACCAGACATCCAATGAGCAAGACATGGAATTTTCTTTTTTTTACTGTTATGTATTATATTTCTGGTACCCGATCGAAGTATACCCATTGAGACATCTTCGATTCTTGAAATTCATGGGTCCTGCAAATTCAAGAAAGCTTAATTCTCCTCAAATTGATGGTAAATTAAAATGTTGATATTAAGAATGACATCCCTCTTTGGTAACTAAATTTAATGTTCATTTAATTCCAAATATTTTCAAGAGATGATTAATGATTTCCAAATATGAAAATCCACAATTGTCAAAATAACGTTGACTTCAGTTCAAAACATGTGGGTGATTTTGGAGTCTTGGTCGAAGAATAAATACCAAAATAAATAAAATCAAATCATACTTTAGAACAGAACAACACGGTAAATAGAAAAAAACCCGCTGATTTCACATGGATAAAGTTGTGAACGTCTGCTTTGTAAAAATGATATGAAATGGGGTTTCTGGACCAATCTGGGTAATCAAGTGTACTTTAAGAGAATGTTTTCCCGGACACCGGCGTTTCCGACTACTCTCCGTGAAATTCCAATTGTCAAGGGTTCCTTTATGTGTATGCGATGTACACGGGGCCTAGGTTTTTCGTACCATCGGAATGACCGACCATCGTCATTCACCTGCACTGCACTTAGACACCACTTCAATAACAGTTCATTGACAACCATGTGAGCATGCAACCGAAAAAGTGTGTTACGCCTGTTCCTTTTGATTTATGTACAAATTATTTATAAATAATATCAGGTGTTATCTCTGTGGTATAATATCGTTTATTAAATTGTTTCTAAATCGTTTCGTGTTAACTGTGTATAAAATTTGATTTAAGATCAGTGGTTTACTGTACTGCATAACAGACACTTCCGTCTATCTTCCTGGTATATAACATCCAATACAACCAGAAGTTCTAGTATATAATGGAGGGTAAACAAGAGCATAAAACATTTGTAAAAGGGCGTTTGAAAAAAAATCCCACCTTGAAATTAGAAAATACATTTGTAATCCTCATTAATCAATTAATGGGTACGGACCAAACCTGCGGAAGAGTCTACCGAAAGTCCTACAAAGCTAGTAGTAGTAGTAGTATCGTGTTGTTTTACGTCTGCTTCCACATAAGTGATATCGCAGACAAGAAATAGGAGAGCCGAAGCTGCTTCCTGTTTTTAGAATATGATTTTGCAATCTTTTCATTTTCGGCCTTCTACAAAGCTAATTAACATAGGCTTATAAGTATTCTAGCGTATCATTTAATTATAATTATTTTTCCCGCCAACAGTTTGAATTTTCCGATATTTTCAAAAGGAGATAAGTGGAGTGGATATTGAAGTCATACATGTCTGAGCCTGAGGTGGAAAATTTTTCTATTCTTTAGCTTCACTGTTGTCAGGTTATTGAGGCAATGAAATTATTAGACGTTTGGTTTCAGCAGAATGGTGTGTGTGGTTTCTGTACAGAAAGAATTAAGACTTGAGTAATACGCGAGATTAAAGAAACACAAGTCTGTAATTTCCAATCTAAATAAATTGGCAATGATTGAAATATCAAACGTGAGGCGAACCTTTACACGCCGCCCTAGGGTTTATGGAGCCTGCATCTGTGTTATTTCAAATTTCTATAACATGTCCAATTTGAGCCCCGGACGCTCGGTAGTATGGTTTCTGTTAATTAAATTGATTCGGTATAACTGAATGATATAATGTAATAAATATAAATGGTTATGTAGGAGATATGAAACAGATATTATGTTCGTCTGCTGCTAGAAATGACCCTGACAGGATGTAAAATATGTAGTTTTCTATATCAAACGAGTTGGCTGTAAACACGATAATTAAATAATGACAAGAACTACCCTATTTTTCAACAAACCATCACATTTCAATTAGTGGTATGAGAAAAACTGTGGTGGTATTTAGTACATTTACTTAAGACTAATTATTTTCTTCGCGTCATAAAAAAGAAATAATGATGAACGTGGATAATATTTTGAAATTGAAGAAGTGCACAATAGTTTGTAAAATTTTATTGGCGACCATTAATATAATTTTTAGAACAGCACACTATAGTCAAACCATGTTCCTTAAAATATATGTAGACAGATACTAGTCACCCGAACATACGGGCCTATTTGATTAGAAGTGGTGTAGAAATTTCGCTGGCACCAGGAATTCTGATTATCGCACGAATGTAAGTAAGGAAATCGGGTTTTGTTTTGCCCGAAAAGTTTGTATTCCACATTTTGTCCCCGCCCTCCGCAATAATGACCAATGTATACACATAGATATATCAGTAACCTTCGCTTGTCGTAAAAGGGTATTTTTCATAATTTGCATAGGGTCTATTCCTCATATTACGGAATCTTCTGGACCCATCAATATCTATATTTTTTTGGATCCTATGGAATAAGTTTACTTCAATAGAGTGTGATTTATTGGTAATTTTGAACTGGCGTTTTGGTTGTTACGAAGATACATGCTAACCAAATAAATGTGTTTGTTATATTTTGAACAATAGCCCGTATGAACCTTCTAACTTTCGTCAAATTTGTCATTTTGTCGATTTAAAAATCCATAATGTTAGAGAATCATCGTTTTATATTCTTTTAGTGATTATTTTGTCTGGTCAGTTCCATTTAATAGACAAGTGCGGGTCCTACTTAATATTATCCCTTCAGACGGCTATATGTCTTACGTGACCGCCATTCCAAAGATGGCGTCGGTTCCTGTTATCAGGAGATCCAATACGGTAAAATCCCTCCGTTCTATGTCTGACAGGTAATAAGCTGGGTTTAACAACACTTAACCCCTAACCAGTAAATTAATCAATGTCTCACTGCTTTGAGAAATCGTCAGACCTCACTATTCAACTTATATACAGAACTCTGAATTCTCTTTCAATGCTAAAATGGGGCTTTCCATGCTTAATTAAGCGAAGCGTCAAACTGTACTTTTCATTACTCACTTTTGACATTCCATGAAGACCAATGAAAGGGAATTTATTTGGAATAATTTGATCTTTAGCACGTCTGATTGTCGTCCATAGACACGGTTGACAATTGCAAATACAATCTGGACCTATAGTTGAGTAAAGACTGTCCTCATTGAGGGTATATTTGTTTAATAGGTTACGATTCACGGAATAGGTCTGTAGATATCATAAAGTCGGTGAAAGATTAATAATATTGACCTCATATTCTGTCATTTCAACCCTTTTCATGGTATAATATAAGAAGAATCGTTCAAGACAGTTACCGTTTGATCACGTCGGTCTTAAGTCACAAAATAGTTTACTTAACCAGAATCACTGAGAACCGCCTTTGGGTTAGATACTTTTGATTTGTCTTTTTTTTACACGGAAGGGGCCGGGCTGAACCTCTGGCCCAAACCATTTGAAACCCGTCCTTGAGCTAAAACCAAGATATCTTTTTACCCAATTTATCGCTGTGTTATCAATTGTGAAACTCCAAAGCCACAAATGTTCCGGGCATTAATTATCGATAATATTTTGTACCTCTGACCACTGTTATTCAAGCATTACAACGATTTAAACTTGAGAATAAATCTTGCGAAAAAAAGTTGGATTTTAAGCTCGCCATTGATTTATTGGCGATAAAATTTAAAAAGTATAGTTGGTGGAACATCAATACGATAATTAAAATACAACAAGTAAGGATATTCTATTGTCTTATCTTGCATAAAATTTGCCAATAAAAGCTGTTCAAAAACGAAATCGTAAATTAGGATTTGCTCTGATATGGTTTGGATGTGTAACAGAAATGGTGTTAAAACCTACAGAAAACCTAACAATCCTAATTTTGTTATTTCTGGAGCGAATTTTGCTCAGTGAGTTGGACGCTGGCTCACTATATATGACCAGGTAGCTTCCAGGCTTCGATTCCGGTGTTAGCCGAGAAAGTTGTAAAGTACCTCGGCATTTTTCATCGTGGTTTCACCTTGTCAGTGGTGCAGGACGAGGTTTTTCATCGTGGTTTCACCTTGTCAGTGGTGCAGGACGAAGGGCCTTGCAAGTGCACGCAAAATAGCCTTGACAGATGGAAACGCCGTTCTCCGGACCGACTGTCCATCTTAGCACTACACGGTCTATTGCCTTCTTCATTTACCCGGGTTGGTGCCGAAAAAAGTAGGGTGTTAAACCCCATTTCACTTTCGTTCAGTTCAATATTGAAAATAAATAAACAGTTTCTCAATACGTAAATATTTTTGGGGAATGTGTTGCCCTGTTTTTCGGTTTAATACTTTCCGTGAAGAGAACAGATTAAAGCATAGATCTGTAGTACAGACATCCTAAATGGTGGCAACTGCTACCAACATTTCAGCCTGAGAACTCAGGGCCTCGTTCATTCATATCTCCTCAAAGTCCACATAAATAACAACCAATCAAGTTCTACTTTATACCACTTAACATGCGTGCAGCGTGTTAGTCAAAATCTAACATGGGTTTAAACAGCTTTTAATATTAGGCCTATCTATTTAATTTTCTAAAGTAATTGTGTTTCCATTTTTTTCAGTTGAGTGTTGAATTAAATACAATAATGATTAAATTTGACGAGAGACACAACTCCTGGAAGCATTAAAAGACGAAAGCTGATATTGTAGGTAAGTAGTCTGTAATTTAATTTTTGTCTCCGTAGCCAAAAAATTGTAATCATTACGTAATTTGACGCATGGAACGTAATCCAATACCAATAATAAATACACTGTTTAAAATAATAACATGTCAAAATCAGCACTTCATAGACGTTTGACAGGCAAATTTAATTATCGTGATCACAAATGTTTGAGAGAAAAATACAGATAAAAAGAATCCAGAGTAAGCATTTTCAAAGATGGGTTTTTTTTAAATTTAAAGTAGCCTATTCCCCATTTTGTGGCACCATTATGAGAAGTTTCGACTAATTATAATATAACTTTATCGTTCAGTACAATTGTACAAAAAATTTTTATTTATTTATTGAACCACTGTTCGACTTCATCCAGTAAGACCCGTCAAGAGGCATTACATGTCACTCCAGACGTATTTCTCAAGGAATTATTATATTGGCCAGCAGAGCTCTTGTAAGCCCAATTTCCTGATTTCGAGAAGAGTTTCATTTGGAAGACAAGAAGCGTCAGTTCTTGAGTAAATAATGCTGTGTTTCTCCTGTTGTTAAGCCTTTATCATTGGGCTTTCTAGAAAGCGTTTGCCTTCTATTAGACATAATGTGCCAAATTAATAACAGCATGCCAGAAAATCCTTCCATTTTAGTGGAATCGTGCTTACTACCGTTTATTGATCTGTTGGGTTTTCTGCGCGTGCAATTTCCCGAACTTTATCTGACGACTGATGCCCAACGTTGCCTCCAGAGGATTTGCTGGTGTATCGATGGATGGAAAGTTGTCAATTTCAATCATAACGACGAGAATTGTTATTTTTCACTGGATGATGACCGCCAAAGATCACAATTTCGGAAATTGCTATTGACGACAAGGGTCATTTGTATTTTGGTTCCTACTTTATGAAAATAAACTGTCTGAGAAAGGTGGTCATTTTGCCTAGAAAACTTAATTTGGGAATATGTTTTCTCATCACCACAAAATATGGCGCAAATTAAAGATTTTCGATCTTAGGATATATATTTGTATGTTTAACGTGTTTACGGTTGCTGAAGGTCGGTAGTAAAAAATAATAATTTCTCAAGATGAAAATATAGGCTATACAATAAATGTCTACACTATGTCTCCATAGACCCGTGGCCATAACAATTTCTTATAAAGGAAAAACGTACAAAAATATTTTAGTAGTTAAAGAAACAAGCACTATAATCTTTGTCTATTACTGATAAAGAATTGGAAATCTATAGTTCCATATGTAGTAGCCCAGAGCCAAGGTGGGACTCCTCTAAGAGTCGATAAATATTCTGCCATTAATATAGATTATATCATGAAATTAGGTTATAATCATCATATAAAAGATAGCATACTTGTATAGCCATAGTTAACCACTCGACTCGACAAATAAGACGTGTAAATGTTGATAAAACTTGTCTCAGAACTGTTACAGCATCTGGAATGCCTGATATTACCTATCCAGAAAACCCGGCGGTGTTCATCCTATAGGCACTTTGATGAGCTATTTTGCCCCAAAAATAAATTTGTCGGTTTCATTATCTTTCATTGTAATTATTTTGTGTGGTGACAATCTGTATTCACGCCTGGTAAAGTCATTTTAGATATATAACCGATTTTGTGTTCCACTGTCGACACAACGAGCCAAATATGAAACTGAAATTAATAAACAAGCGGATGTCCGCTTAATCTTTCGAAACAAAAGATCAACACAATTGAATAGTTTATTTTGACCTAAATCAAAGAGGTTTAGCTCTTTAACAACACCATATAATATGACAGCTGTCTAGTCGTTCGGATGGGATGAAAAACCGAGGTCCCGTGTATACATTGGCGTGTACGTAAAAGATCCTTTGCCAGTTAGAATTCGATATAAGAGTACGCCATACTGCCGCTGCCTGGAGAAAATTTCCCTCATAGCACATTGTATGGCGTATGCCCGTCTTGATTAGCCCAGTCGGAGCAGAACAGTAGGACGTTAACCCCTTTTCATTTCATTTCATTTCATATCGATACATACATATCTTGACATGTTACTTTAGCTTTGACAGCGACACGAATCATCTGTATGTTCCTTTTCAAACCTCAAAACTATTAGTAATAGCGGAAACTGTTCCATCTAAAATAGTTTAATACATTGGGATTTCAGACAAATTTTAAAATCATGGTTGTAAGATCTAATTAAATACTGCCAGCTGTTCCACAGTATTATAGTTTAACATTGGAATGGGTTATCCATTAATCCAATCTGATAATAGGAACGTCACAGGACAAGAGTCTAACCATAAATCTTGGAATGCCCTAATAGGACATTTGTCATGTTACTCATGTATACTATATATCAGATAAGTTTTCAAACTGTTAAATACCGTGCATGCTACCAAAGGAGATAAACTCGTTGACTTAAGTCAAATTAAATTATTGAATTAGGTTGATCTAAACTTATATTTCGATTACTGCCAGAGCAAGTTTTTAGTATTAAATATTGATTTCGAACCATTATGCGGAATTCAACTTGTTTACTATAATTTAAGTTAATTTTGGGTGGTTAGCATGTTGTTGACGACAATAATACACATTCTGTTACAGAGTTTTCAGTGAAGAATCAGTCAACAAAACAAATCAACGTATAAAATCCAATAGAATCGACAATGCCTTTTTTTTAAAAAAAAAACAAATCAAAAGGATGTAATAATTTTAAATAATCGTGAACAGGGCATTTGTTTTAGGAATCTGCCCGGCGCAAGAAATGTTCAGCATACCTTAGAGTGGATCAGATGTATACAAAGGTGATCTCTCTAAATATGCTACCTTCTCTCAAACACTGAAATAGTACCAAAAGTTTGTTATTGTCTCTTGCCAACATCATCGGTATTGCCCTACTTGGGTATTTTTTTAGCACCCCCCCCCCCCCAACCCCCATACTTAAAAATAAATGCCCTTGTCGTGATTTTAGCATGCTACTAAGGCGATCGCATCGATTTATCGCGTTTTTGACAACCAAAAAAACCAGTTATAAATATGAAACATTATCATTAAAAAGAGCACAAGATGATGCTGTAAATGAGGTATCACACGTCTACCATCTTTATGGGAAGCAAACCTTGTTATACCATGATATACTACATCCTAATCAACACCAGTCATATATGATTTACCACATGGCATTGCTAATAACATATATCAACTTCTGTAACAATAGACTGCCGAAACAAAGGCATGTCTGAACGTTTACTGAGATCTAATAATACAGTTATAACGCTCGAGTTGAGCGCAGTGTAATTAAATTTATTTGGGTTGCGTTCTTTCAATTACATGTTTTACACCTGCCCCTAGAAATGATGATGAAGGAAGTATGGAGCTCTGTTTCTCATTACCATAAAGGTGTTTAACATTTTCGTTAGGAGATTATTTTGGTTTTAATGAGTTTAACACCTTGGATTTTCCGACGGTTTGGGTTTTTTTTATATTGATAAATGCTGGAGGTTGTTTTATCTTTTCATCCAAAGATAGTTCACGAGTCTTTGTATGTGTACTGAATTTCAGATGGTCATTGCCGTTACCAATATGATTAAATTACAGATCTATAATTCGTTTCGTTTTTTTTTTACTTTCGATAGCCTACACTCCATGAAGATCTGACCAGTGTGTACTTGGGGGTCGCGTCAGGGTCACTCAGGGGTCATACGAGCGGCTTTTGGCACTATGACGTCAGATATTGATTAATCAATCAGCGTTGATGTTTCTAGAGGTTTACCCACAGTTCCGTGCAGAGCACGCCAAAACCTCGCCGTAATAGACCATTTCACATTAACTAGAACACCTGTTATATAACAACTCTTCCAGATCCTAGTGTTGTGAAGACAAGTAAAACGAAATTTGGAACTCTAAAAAACGAAACGAAATAGGATCTGTGTTTTAATCTGACTGTGCCGTTACTTACACACGGTTTCAAATGATCATGTATCGTTACATATTGTGTACACCGGAAGTCCAAATATATGAAACAACTTTACGGTATTATAAATTAATAATGATTAATCTGTTTAGATTGCAATACTTGTACAGAAACTAGAATATTAGCCTTTTGTATAAGTTAAATAATATTTGTAAATATACGCTATGAAACGAAACATCACGATATTCTGCTTTTATTCTTTATTCTGTCTTTTGTCCCCTCCAAAAAAAGTAAAGGTATGATTTTTCAAAGTAGCGAATCAATTTAGAAATAGAAGTTAGAGACGGCTTTTCATGTGCAAAAGGGGTCTCTGATACCAACACAACGAGACCGCTTTTATTCAGCTGTGTGCGTTAATATTATCTGAAATCTGGAGAATTTCGTTATTTAAAATTTGAAATAGGAGCTGGTATTTCAACTTGTGATATACAGATTAAATAGATTTAATGAACAAAATCAAATATATTATTTGAAACTGCGTTTGGTAGTTTGATATTTTAATAAATTTGCATCAATGTTATGGAAGTTGGTTGGTGCAGAGATAAACAGTGACAATATGCGCAGTAATTGGTTTATCGCCAGTTGCAACTCATATGTACATATAATAGAATTAGAACCTTCGCCACTAGGTCTCCACTGTGCCGTACAATTTCCTTTTTAGGGCAACTAGTCACTTTTAGAGGATTGCAATATATTCAAAAGAACAGAATGCTAACAACTCAGCGGTTGTAACAAAAACCGAATTTATCTCTACTGTTGGCAAACCTTATGATATTAATTAAATATCCTTGATAAAAATTAATAATAATGATGACTGGGAATTTGATATTAATCTTCCGATGCGTGTTTTTCAGTTCCTTTGTATTACTTTTATTGAAAACTGATCGTGTGCCAGATATACCTACATCGTATATTAATATTACATATGCATAATTATATATGATTAATATGTTTCGTGATAGATAAGTAACGGACTTTCAGGCAGCTTAACTCTAATCCGACAGATGCGACAAAGATAGATCCTCTTTCACTA